TTTAATCGGGGCAGGGGTTATTTTAGCCTGTCGGGATGGAACTCACGACCTCCTGTACACCCGGCGAGGTAGTTAACATCTCCTAGCCACCGTGATGATGAGAGACACCGCAAACTCCAAATATACAGCAGCAGGTGTCATGGTCTGGATCGAACCCACGACCTGCTGCGTACCAGGCGAGGTAGTCAACATCTCCTAGCCACCGTGATGATGAGAGAGACACAGCAAACTCCAATAGACAGCAGCAGGCATCGTCAGGGTCGGGATGGAACTCACGACCTCCTGTATACCAGGCGAGGTAGTCAACATCTCATAGCCACCGTGATGAGAGAGAGAGAGAGACACACAAACTCCAAACATACAGCAGCAGGCTTCAGGGTCGGGATGGAACTCACGACCTCCTGTACACCCGGCGAGGTAGTCAACATCTCATAGCCACCGTGATGATGATGAGAGACACGCAAACTCTAAATATACAGCAGCAGGTGTCAGGGTCGGGATCGAACCCACGACCTCCTGCGCACCAGGCGAGGTAGTTAACATCTCCTAGCCACCGTGATGATGAGAGAGACACCGCAAACTCCAAATAGACAGCAGCAGGCATCGTCAGGGTTGGGATCGAACCCACGACCTGCTGCGCACCAGGCGAGGTAGTCAACATCTCCTAGCCACCGTGGTGATGATGAAAGAGAGAGACACAGACCTCCTGCGCACCAGCCGCGGTAGTCAACATCTCATAGCCACCTTGATGATGAGAGAGACACCACAAACTCCAAACATACAGCAGCAGGCGTAGCCATGGTCTTGATCGAACCCACGACCTCCTGCGCACCAGGCGAGGTAGTCAACATCTCCTAGCCACCGTGATGATGATGAGAGAGAGAGAGACAGACCTCCTGCGCACCAGCCGCGGTAGTCAACATCTCATAGCCACCTTGATGATGAGAGAGACACCACAAACTCCAAACATACAGCAGCAGGCGTAGCCATGGTCTTGATCGAACCCACGACCTCCTGCGCACCAGGCGAGGTAGTCAACATCTCCTAGCCACCGTGATGATGATGAGAGAGAGAGACACAGACCTCCTGCGCACCAGGCGAGGTAGTCAACATCTCCTAGCCACCGTGATGATGATGAGAGAGAGAGACAGACCTCCTGCGCACCAGGCGAGGTAGTCAACATCTCCTAGCCACCGTGATGATGATGAGAGAGAGGAGAGACACAGACCTCCTGCGCACCAGGCGAGGTAGTCAACATATCCTAGCCACCGTGATGATGATGAGAGAGAAAGAGACACAGACCTCCTGCGCACCAGGCGAGGTAGTCAACATCTCCTAGCCACCGTGATGATGATGAGAGAGAGAGACAGACCTCCTGCGCACCAGGCGAGGTAGTCAAAATCTCCTAGCCACCGTGATGATGATGAGATGAGAGAGAGGACACAGACCTCCTGCGCACCAGGCGAGGTAGGTCAACATCTCCTAGCCACCGTGATGATGATGAGAGAGAGAGAGACACAGACCTCCTGCGCACCAGGCGAGGTAGTCAACATCTCCTAGCCACCGTGATGATGATGAGAGAGAGACACAGACCTCCGCTGCGCACCAGGCGAGGTAGTCAACATCTCCTAGCCACCGTGATGATGATGAGAGAGAGAGACACAGACCTCCTGCGCACCAGGCGAGGTAGATCAACATCTCATAGCCACCGTGATGATGATGAGAGAGAGAGACACAGACCTCCTGCGCACCAGGCGAGGTAGTAAACATCTCATAGCCACCGTGATGATGATGAGAGAGAGACACAGACCTCCTGCGCACCAGGCGAGGTAGTCAACATCTCATAGCCACCGTGATGATGATGAGAGACACAGACCTCCTGCGCACCAAGCGAGGTAGTCAACATCTCCTAGCCACCGTGATGATGATGAGAGAGAGACACAGACCTCCTGCGCACCAGGCGAGGTAGTCAACATCTCCTAGCCACCGTGGTGATGATGAAAGAGAGAGACACAGACCTCCTGTAGACCAGCCGCGGTAGTCAACATCTCATAGCCACCCTTGATGATGAGAGAGACACCACAAACTCCAAACATACAGCAGCAGGCGTAGCATGGTCTGTTTCGAACCCACGACCTCCTGCGCACCAGGCGAGGTAGTCCAACATCTCCTAGCCACCGTGATGATGATGAGAGAGAGAGAGACACAGACCTCCTGCGCACCAGGCGAGGTAGTCAACATCTCCTAGCCACCGTGGGGCAGTCATGGCTAGAGTGGTGGAGGGGGCGTGTCACCCTCCGTGTCTGGGCGGTGCGTTCGAGACCGGCTCTGCTTTTGGCCCGGAACCGTCTCGTTCCGAGTCGGTCAAGTGGCGTTCTTCGTTCGATTCGGCCGTGTGAGCTCCCCGCTCGGTGGAGACCTACTGCCGGGTACGGAGAGGGGAGGGGCCTAAGGGAGGGGGGAGTCAGGAGAGGGGCCTGAGGGGGGGGTCAGGGGAGGGGCCTAAGGGAAGGGGGGGAGTCAGGAGAGGGGCCTAAGGATATGGGGGGGTGGTCAGGGGAGGGGTCTAAGGGGGGAGGGGCCTAAGGGGGAGGGACCTAAGGGAGGGGGGGGGTTAAGGGGAGGGGCCTAAGCAAGGGGGAGGGGCCGATAGTGAAGGGGGCTGGCTGCCTGGCTACATAGAGTCACGTGATCTTGTACACAGGTAGAGGAACAGCACGTTCCACACTGCCCACCCAGGGATTATTTGTCTGTCGTGCACGAATGCGCTGTCCAACCAAGTTCCTACCTGCCCACTCCGAAGGAACGTGTTTTTTAAACGATGCGAAATAACGGCACCAAACTGTTCATTTAACTACTTTCAAGTTTCCGGATGGGAAAGCGGAACAGCGCCGCTCACCGCGGGGCTTGCGGCGTGGAAACCAGCGACTCGTCGTCAACGTCAACTCCAAGGCTCGCGAGCCAAACCCTTCGCAAGTCTAGCGTCCACACGGAGACAGACGGACGGACAGACAGACACACGGAAAAAAACATGTTCCTTCGCAGTGTGCAGGTCGGAACTTGGTTGGACAGCGCATTCGTGCACGACAGACAGAACATAATCCCTGGTGTGCAGTGTGGAACCTGCTGTTCCTCTCCCTGTGTACAAGATCACGTGACTTGAGGTAGCCAGGCAGCCAGCCAGGCAGACAGCCCCCTTCACTATCGGCCCCTCCCCCTCCCTCAGGCCCCTCCCCTGACCCCCCCCTCAGGCCCCTCCCCTGACCCCCCGTCCCTTAGGCCCCTCCCCCTGACCCCCCATATCCTTAGGCCCCTCCCCTGACCCCCCCTCCCTTAGGCCCCTCCCCTGACCCCCCCTCCCTTAGGCCCCTCCCCTGACCCCCCGTCCCTTAGGCCCCTCCCCTGACCCCCCCCATATCTTTAGGCCCCTCCCCTGACCCCCCCCCCCCCCTCAGGCCCCTCCTCTGACCCCCCCCTTCCTTAGGCCCCTCCCCTCTCCGTACCGGCAGTAGGTCTCCACCAATCAGAGAGCTGTCTATATTATATATTTATTTATCCACGGCAGACAGACAGACAATAATCCCTGGTGGGCAGCAGTGTGGTACATTGTTCCTACCTGTAAAAAGTGTCGTTTATAGGTAAGAAAATAAAAACGATGACGAGACTCAACGAGGAACACGGATTTATTCGGTTCACGAGTCAACGGATATAACTTCAAAACCCTTTTGTGGGTCGTCGTTCTCTTGAGGCGGCGTTGCCGCGGGATTACTTCCAAATCGACGGGCGACACCCAATAGCAGAGCGAGCAGCTTGAGTAGCCCACTTCAGCTGTGTGTCTGTGTGTGTCTGTGTGTGTGTTTGTCTGTGAGTGTGTCTGTGTGGTGTCTATGTGTCTGTGTGTGTCTGTGTGTGTCACTGAGTCTGTGTGTGTGTCTGTGTGTCTCTGTGTGTGTCTATGTGTCTCTGTGTGTGTCTGTGTGTGTGTCTCTGTGTGTGTCTGTGTGTCTATGTGTGTGTCTCTGTGTATGTCTGTGTGTGTCTCCGTGTGTGTCTATGTGTCTGTGAGTGTTCTGTGTGTGTGTCTGTGTGTGTCTGTGTGTGTGTCACTGAGTCTGTGTGTGTGTCACTGAGGTCTGTGTGTGTGTCACTGAGTCTGTGTGTGTGCCTGTTGTGTGTGTCACTGAGTCTGTGTGTGTGTCTGTGTGTGTGTCACTGAGTCTGTGTGTGTGTCTGTGTGTGTGTCTGTGTGTGTGTCACTGTGTCTGTGTGTCTGTGTGCGTGTCACTGAGTCTGTGTGTTTGTCACTGAGTCTGTGTGTGTGTCTGTGTGTGAGTCTGTGTGTGTGTCACTGTGTCTGTGTGTGTGTCTGTGTGTGTGTCACTGAGTGACACACACACAGACACACACAGACACACACAGCGACACACACAGCGACACGGAGCGATAGTGTAGCGGTTAGCGCGCTGCGCTATGAACCCGGTGACCCGAGTTCGATTCCCGCTCACGGCCAACACCAGTGACGATTATCTGAACCGGTCCTGGGCCTCCCCTAGGTCGACTCAGCCTCAAATGAGTACCTGGTGCGGTGTGTAAACATCACCACTAGGGAGACAAAGGCGGTCGGGCGTGGTGCTGGCCACCCACCCCCTCGTGTGCCGTGCTGGCCTTCATAGGTGCTCGCTAACAGCACTTGCCCCTACAGTCTGTTAAGGCTATATGGGGGATCTTTGTTGTCACTGAGTCTGTGTGTGTGGTCACTGAGTCTGTGTGTGTCTGTGTGTCTGTGTGTGTGTCTGTGTGTGTGTCACTGAGTCTGTGTGTGTGTCACTGAGTCTGTGTGTGTGTACGTGTGTGTGTCTGTGTGTGTGTCACTGAGTCTGTGTGTGTCTGTGTGTGTGTCTGTGTGTGTCTGTGTGTGTGTCACTGAGTCTGTGTGTGTCTGTGTGTGTGTCACTGAGTCTGTGTGTGTCTGTGTGTGTGTCTGTGTGTGTGTCTGTGTGTGTGTCTGTGTGTGTGTCTGTGTGTGTGTCTGTGTGTGTGTCTGTGTGTGTGTCACCGAGTCTGTGTGTGTGTGTCTGTGTGTGTGTCACTGAGTCTGTGTGTTTGGGAAGTTGTCGTCATTGTCGCTGTCTTCGGAGGACGAGTACGGATCCAGAAACAATCTCTGCACACACACACGTACACACACACACACACGTAAACACACACACGTACACACACACACGTTCACACACACACGTACACACACACGTACACACGCACACGTACACACGCACACTAACACACACACACGTACACACACACACGTTCACACACACGTACACACACACACGTACACACACGTACACACACACACGTACACACACACACGTACACACGCACACGTACACACGCACACTAACACACACACACGTACACACACACACGTTCACACACACGTACACACACACACGTACACACACACGTACACACACGTACACACACACACGTTCACACCCACCACACGTACACACGCACACACGCACACGTTCACACGTACACACCACACACGTACACACACACACGTACACACACACGTACACACAACACGTACACACACACACGTACACACACACGTCACACACACACGTACACACACACACGTACACACACGTAATACACACACGTTCACACACACACGTACACACACGTACACACACACACATACACACACCGTACACACACACACGTACACACACACACGTACACACACACACGTTCACACACACACGTACACACACACACGTTCACACACACACACACGTTCACACACACACGTACACACACACACGTACACACACACACACGTTCACACGCACACGTACACACGCACACGTACACATGCACACGTTCACACACACACGTACACACACACACACGCTCACACACACACACGTACACACACACACGTTCACACACACACGTACACACACACACGTACGCACACACACGTACGCACACACACGTACGCACACCACACGTACGCACACACACGTACACACACACGTTCACACACACGTTCACACACACTTACACACACACACGTTCACACACACACGTACACACACACACGTACACACACACACGTTCGCACACACACGTACGCACACACACGTACACACCACACGTTCACACACACACGTTCACACACCACTTACACAACAACAACAACCGCCATTCGCCACTAATTGGCGGTGACGTCACCACGACGCTTGTGCCAGGCCAAGTGCACCTTGAGGCCATGTGAAGTGTCGAACGCCCGCTGACAGGAGGTCACGGGTGCCACGGGTCGACTGACCAAGATGACCGAGATGACTGGCTGATGCACCACCTGTGCCCCCTATTGTACCAACTTGCTGTGCTTTAGCCACCCGGCGCTCCGCTCATTGTTGTGAGCGTCGCTCCTCCGCCCTCCTTTGATGTTGGAGGGCGACTGCCTCCAACTGCCCAGTAGCGTCCTTCACGAGCCTCCTCCACTAAGGCCGATCTTGACACCTGGTACCAGTCATCGGCAAGTCCACTCAGCTCCACGTCCTCCTGCACCACATCACTCCATCTCTTCTCTAGCCCGTGCCGCGCCCGTTTAGCCCCCTCGATCCGGCTGAACAAAAGCTGTTTAGGCATGCGGTGGCTGGGCATGCGGGCTACATGACCCAGCCAACGCAGCCTTGCCTGCCGGAGGAGCTCACCGATGGGACTTTGCCCAGATCTTTCAAGGATTTGTGAGCTCCTCACACAATCCAGCCTGGTTAAACCCAAGATGGATCGTAGGCAGGCCAGCCTAAATGTTTTCAACCGGCGAAGATGCTCCATTAGGGGGGTCCACGTTTCGCAAGCGTAGAGAAGGGAGGGAATGACCGTGGCCCAGAAGACCTGAAGCTTCGTGCGGAGCGACAGACCAGGTAGCTTCCACACAGCGTTACGCAACCGATGAAAAGATATTGCCGCTCGACTGATTCGGAGTGAGACCTCTGCTGACAAACTGGAGCCGGTCATAAGCACACTGCCCAGGTATGGGAAACTCTCCACTCTCTCCACAACTGCCCCATCACCAATTGGGAGTTGTTGGGGTGGAGTGTCCGATGGTACAAAATACCCAGGCAGGTGCTTAGTTTTGGTGGGGCTGATGGTAAGGCCCCACCTCTTAGTGGCACGCTCCAGTCTCAGCAGCAGCGTCTCCAACTCCTCTTCTGAATGAGCAGCTATTACCAAATCATCGGCATACATAACGTGGTTGACCAATAGGGAGCCATCCCTTGATCGCACCCGGGCGTCGATCAGCCTCCCATTATATCTGTACCAAATGGAAATTCCCCCCAGTACAGCTATTGAAGGCGTCACGAACTACGCAGTCGAAATAGATGTTAAATAATGTGGGAGCCAGAGGACATCCCTGTCGCACCCCAAGGTGTACAGAGAAAGGCTCCGACTCCCGGCCACGTAGTTTTACCCGGGCCCGCTCACCATCATGAAGGTCCTTAATGATCGTGAGCAGAGGGTCAGGGACTCCGAAAGCATGAAGACCAACCCAGAGCCCAGGCCTACTGATGGTATCATAGGCCTTGACCAAGTCAATAAATAGAGATGTAGGTCTTGTTGGAATTCCCTACACCTCTGCTGTAGCAGACGGACAGAAAATATGGCATCTATACAGGACCGCCCTTTCCTGAAACCGCATTGGGGTTCCGCAAGCCTCTCCTCAGCGTGCCTAGCAAGGCGATGTTGAATAATCCTTGCCAGGATCTTTCCCGGCACACTGAGGAGTGAGATGCCCCTGTAGTTGTTACAGTCTGTGCGGTCTCCCTTCTTAAAGAGGGGGACCACCAGGGCATCCTTCCAATCCTGCGGAGCCCGTCCAGCGGTCCAGACTGTTGTTTATGATGTCATATAGGGCAATCTGTGCACAAGCACCACCCTCCCACAGCATTTCGCTTGGGAGATCATCTCTGCCCGGTGCCTTTCCTGGTCTCAGGCTCTGGATTGCCTTCAGTACTTCCTCAACGGATGGCACCTCAGTCAGCCACTCACAGGGGGTGACTTCTTCTTCCAATATTTGAGGCACCGAAGCCTCAGCAGGGTTATCCCCACTTTGTGCCATGATATTTTTCTGGCTGAGAGATTTTCCCTCCCCCAGGAGCTCAGAGAAATGCTCAGCAAATCTGCAAACCTGTTCCTGGGGGTCGGAGATTGGATCACCGTTTTTTCCCCTAATGATGGTAATAGGTGTGGCGCTGCAGGTTACTTTTTTGATGGAGTTAAATAGTGATTTGTGATCGCAGGCCACTGAGGCAGATTCCATCTCCTCAGCAACCCGCGACCACCACCCTTCCTTGCAGCGCCTTACGGCTCTCCGAACCTCCAAGCGAAGGCTGCGGTAAACCTCCTCATTCTCTGACGTGGGATGCTGTAGGCGATGAGAGTGGGCCTGTCGCTTTTTTCTCAATTAACCTGAACACCTCCTCTGTCAGCCAGGGTTTCTGGGGAGGTCTGGACCGCCATTGCAGCTGCATGAGTCACAGTCTTAAACCTCGCCCATTTACCCTCGACATCAGGTGGAGTGGGGGACGATGCCAACCCCAGCTGCAAGCGATGATGAAATTCTCTCTTGCAACTTTCATCAGCTAACTGAGACCAGGCCACTTTTGGTTGGAATGGGATCCTGGGTGTACACCCACCACCGGAGTGGATAAATGGCAGGCGCATCTTACAGATGACTAGTCGATGGTCAGAGGGCAGATCAGCTCCACGGTAGGTCCTGGTGTCAAGGACATGGCTCGCATCCGCTGGTCCGTCACTATGTAGTCCAGCAGATGTTCTTGCTTGGACCCGGCATGCATCCATGATGTTGTGTGGATGCGCCGATGCCGGAAGAGCGTGTTGGTAATTACAAGCCCATGGGCTGCACAAAAAATCTAGCAGCCTCCTACCATTGTTATTGAGCTGATCTGGCCCATGCCCTCCAATCACTCCAGACCAGGTGCCAGCATCATGACCAACTCGGGCATTGAAGTCCCGAGTGGCCACTTTAGCCAGCACCTGTGACAGGAGGTCATAGAAAGCGTCTGACTCATCGGCTTTGCCTGCATCCCTCCACGGATGTTCGTCTTCGGTGGGGGCATAAGTAACCACGACCACCACTCCTCGCCTCCGGTTGATGGGACGGCGAGCCCAAAGTATCCTGGGGCTTACAGCTTCCCACACCTCCCACGCCCCCTTCATTCTTTTGTTCAGAAGAAGAGCCACACCCTGTTGTTTGGCAGTCTCCTGCCCCGAGTAGAGGACTGCCCCCCCTCAAGAGCCAGAACCGGTCCACCGGACCTCCTGAATGCCACAGAGATCCAGGCGGTACCGGTCCAGCTCCCGACAAAGGAGTGGCAGCCTCTCCTCCGCAGTGAGCGTTCGAACATTCCACGTGGCCAACCGCAATGGTTTTTCGTTGTTCTGGAGGAGCCCCGAGGGTGAAGATTCAATCTCCTGGCTCCGCCAAATGGGGTTTGGCCAGGAGACGTCATAAAAGCCTGACCCCCCGGGGCCTCCGGCACAAGCTTATTAGTTACAGGTTTATGTTTAATTCGTGTTTCGTGGTAATTAATAGAAGGTGGAGGGGTTACCAGCCCCTCGCAGCCGTCCAGAGCCCCCGTTTAGCCACTGTGGTGGTCACAGATGCCATGAGGGGAGAGGCCAATGGGCATTGGCCCTCCCCCCACAGCACTGCCCACGACAGTGTTGCCCCGTCCGGCACACACGTCACACACACACGTACACACACACGTACACACACACGTACACCACACACGTACAACACACACGTACACACACACCGTACGCACACACGTACACACACGTACGCACACACGTACACACACACGTACACACACGTACACACACACACGTACGCACACACACACGTACACACACAACGTACACACACACACGTACGCACACACCGACCTTTGAGCTGGACAGTGTCCGCGAACTGCGTCTTTTTTTCTCGTACCACACTCCTTGGTTGAAGACGGGGCTGTGGGTAACCACATTGACAGCACTCACCCACAGCGGCACTCCACCACGCAGACAACCCATAGACATCACCACACCAGACACCCTAGACATCACCACACAGACACCCATAGACATCATCACCACGCAACACCCATAGACATCACCACACAGACACCCATAGATTCACCACACAGAGACAGATGTGTCATAAATCCGCTCCGGACGATATCGTGTCTTTTGTCTGGTCTGTATTTGTTCTCCATGTACACAGCTCCCTCACACGCCGGGTTCCTTTTCCCCCGTTACTCCAGTGTGGCGTTCGCTCGCTCGCCCTCACACCTCTCCACCAGAGGTTGCAACCGGGTATCCGATACCCGGCTACCCGTACCCGGCCGGGTACGGGTAGCCGTTTGCGACCCTGGTGCGGCCGGGTACGGGTAGGCCGTGAGTCACTGGTGAGTAACCATTTGTCACTCATTTCGGGTAGGGTACGGGTAGGGAACGGGTACCCGTACCCAGCCGGGTACAGGTAGGGTACGGGTATCGGGTATAGGTAGGGTACGGGTACAGGTAGGCCGTGAGTCACCGGTGAGTAACCGTTTGTCACTCGTTTCGGGTAGGGTACGGGTAGGGAACGGGTACCCGTACCCAGCTGGGTACGGGTAGGGTACGGGTACGGCCGGGTACGGGTACCCGTTTACGACCCTGGTGCGGCCGGGTACGGGTGTCGGGTACGGGTAATCGGGTACAGGGGGTAAGGAATCAAAACCCGTTTGCGACCTCTGCTCTCCACACTGACCACGAGCTTGTGTCTCTCTACCCCTTACACCACGTGGCCCACGTGATGCCACCCATCCAATCAGCAGCCTCACCCCTGGAACCTTCTAGATGTTGCTGTGCAGCCCCAGGGCCACGCCTCTGGCTCGACATCCCATTGGCTGCGGGCTGAGGCCGGCAGAGCCAATCACCATCGCCCAGTTATCCCCCCCCCCCAGACACACACACAATATGCATCTTCATATTACACGTGTATGTTTATGTGTGTATGTATATGTGTGTGTATGTGTGTGCATGTATATGTGTGTATGTGTATGTATATGTGTGTGTATGTATATGTGTGTGTATGTGTGTGTATGTGTAGGGATTATTACGGGAGAAACGGCGGACAACAAACACAGGGGTGTTGGCACTCACATACACGGGTGGTCACACCGACGTCCGCATCCGTTATTGCCCACGCCCCCAGCCCTCGGAGGTGATCCCTATAAAAGGTGGAGACCCAAAGAGCTCGAGGCAGTTCGACACGAAGCTGACCAGTGAAGATCCAAGACTCGGAGATTAGGCCCTGGGACTCCCCGGTCTCGCCTTATAAGGGCCGAGCCGGGTAAGCCAGCGGCGCGGCCCAAAAGCTTCCAGACCGCTGCCCTTATCAGGGCAAGGCTGGTTAGCTGGTGCCGAGATCTGTGCTTGCCAGGGCCAGATCAGTCAGCCTCCCGTAGCCCAGTAGAGGAGGACTGGGGAACAGGACAGGGGGCTTAGTACTAGGGTGGGTTCCCATAGTACGGGTGAAGGGGTCGATACCCCTTCAACTATTGTGCCTGTCCCTGGGTTAATAAACAGAGTGTGCCTCAACTTCGACATCGTCTCCTCGAACTTACTACATATGTGTGTGTATGTATATGTGTGTGTATGTGAATGGGGAGCGGTAGTGTAGCGGTTAGCGCTACGCTGCGCTATGAACCCGGCGACCCGGGTTCGATTCCCGCTCACGGCCAACACCAGTGACGATTATCTGAACCGGTCCTGGGCCTCCCGTAGGTCGACTCAGCCTGAAATGAGTACCTGGTGCGGTGTGTAAACATCGCCACTGGGGAGACAAAGGCGGTCGGGCGTGGTGCTGGCCACACACCCCTCGTGTGCCGTGCCGGCCTTCATAGGTGCTCGCTAACAGCACTTGCCCCTACAGTCTGTTAAGGCTATACGGAGGATCTTTGTCTTGTGTATGTGTAATGGCAGGGTGACACCTGAGGGGTTACTGCGGTTAGCTGCATGACGTAACGCCTCATCGTGAAGGGGCGCATCTTGGGTCGAAGATGAAGGGCTGAGTCAGTCGAGAAGCTGATGTCGAGGGTAAATGGGCGAGGTTTAGGACTGTGACTCACGCAGCTGCAATGGCTGCTTTGGGTATGCGGTCCAGACCTCCCCAGAGACCCTGGCTGACAGAGGAGGTGTTCAGGATAGTTGAGAAAAAGCGACAGGCCCACTCTCATCAGCTACAACATCCCACGTCGGAGAATGAGGCTTCGCTCGGAGGTTCGGAGAGGCGTGAGGCGCTGCAAGGATGGGTGGTGGTCGCGGATCACAATTTCCTATTTAACTCCATCAAAAAAGTAACCTGCAGCGCCACACCTATTACCATCATTAGGGGAAAAAACGGTGATCCAATCTCCGACCCCCAGGAACAGGTTTGCAGATTTGCTGAGCATTTCTCTGAGCTCCTGGGGGAGGGAAATCTCTCAGCCAGAAAAATATCATGGCACAAAGTGGGGATAACCCTGCTGAGGCTTCGGTGCCTCAATATTGGAAGAAGAAGTCACCCCCTGTGAGTGGCTGACTGAGGTGCCATCCGTTGAGGAAGTACTGAAGGCAATCCAGAGCTGAGACCAGGAAAGGCAACCGGGCAGATGATCTCCCAAGCGACAATGCTGTGTGGAGGGTGGTGCTTGTGCACAGATTGCCCTATATGACATCATAACAACAGTCTGGACCGCTGGACGGGCTCCGCAGGATTGGAAGGATGCCCTGGTGGTCCCCCTCTTTAAGAAGGGACCGCACAGACTGTAACAACTACAGGGGCATCTCACTCCTCAGTGTGCCGGGAAAGATCCTGGCAAGGATTATTCAACATCGCCTTGCTAGGCACGCTGAGAGAGGCTTGCGGAACCCAATGCGGTTTCGGAAAGGGCGGTCCTGTATAGATGCCATATTTTCTGTCCGTCTGCTACAGCAGAGGTGTAGGGAATTCCAACAAGAACTACATCTCTATTTTATTGACTTGGTCAAGGCCTATGATTACCATCAGTAGGCCGGGGCTCTGGGTTGGTCTTCATGCTTTCGGAGTCCCTGACCCTCTGCTCACGATTCATTAAGGACCTTCATGATGGTGAGCGGGCCCGGGTAAAACTACGTGGCCGGGAGTCGGAGCCTTTCTCTGTACACCTTGGGGTGCGACAGGATGTCCTCGGCTCCCACATTATTAACATCTATTTTGACCACGTAGTTCGTGAAGCCTTCAATAGCTGTACCAGGGGAATTTCCATTTGGTACAGATATACTGAGAGGCTGATACGATGCCCGGGTGCGGTCAAGGGATGGCTCCCTATTGGTCAACCACGTTATGTATCCGATGATTTGGTAATGTGCTCATTCAGAGGAGGAGTTGGAGACGTGCTGCTGAAAACTGGAGTGTGCCACTAAGAGGTGGGGCCTTACCATCACCCCACCAAAACTAAGCACTTGCCTTGGTATTTGTGTACCATCGGACACTCCACCCCCCAACTCCTAATCGGTGATGGGGAAGTTGTGAAGAGAGTGGAGAGTTTCCCATACCGGGCAGTGTGCTTATGACCGTTCTGGTTTAACAGCAGAGGTCTCATCCGAATCAGTCGAAGGCATGTATCTTTTTCGGTTGCGTAACGCTATGTGGAAGCTTCAGGTCTTCTCGGCCACGGTCATTCCCTCCTTCTCACGCTTGCGAAACGTGCACTCCCCTAATGGAACATCTTCGCCGGTACCCAGATATTTCAAGGATCACAAATCCTTGAAAGATCTGGGCAAAGTCCCATCGGTGAGCACCTCCAGCAGGCAAGGCTGCGTTGGTGGTCATGTAGCCGCATGGCCAGCCACCGCAGGCTAAACAGCTTCTTGTTCGGCCGGAACAAGGGGCGAAACTGGCGCGGCAGGGTTATAGAAGAGATGGTGTGATTTGGTACAGGAGGACGTGGAGCTGAGTGGACTTGCCGATGACTGGTACCAGCAGTGTCAAGATCAGCCTTGTGAGCGACGCTCACAACAACGAGTGGAGTGCTGGGTGGCTAAAGCCACAGCAAGTTGGCACAGTAGGGGGCACAGGTGGTGCATCAGCCAGTCGTCTCGGTCATCACAGTCAGTCGACCCGTGGCACCTGCTGGGTCTGCCCCGTGACCTCCTGCCCAGCGGGGTGTTCGACACTTCACGTGGTAGCCTCAAGGTGCACATGGCCTGGCACAAGCGTCGTGGTGAGTCACCGCCACTTAGTGGCGAATGGCGGTTTGTGTGTTGTTGTTGTATATATGTATGTGTATGTGGTGTGGTATGTGTGTATGTGTGTAGTATGTGTGTGTATGTGTGTGTATGTATATATATGTATGTGTATGTAGTGTGTGTATGTATGTGTTATGTTATGTATATGTATGTATATATGTGTGGTTGTATGTGTTTGGTATGTATAATATGTGTATGTAATATGTATAAGTGTGTGTACCTCTTTCTCTCCTGCTCCGTGGGCTGACCTCGCCCCGTGAGGCTCCGCTGGCGCTTGAGGACGACGTGGGAGGAGGAGGA